GGAAAGAGCTTGTTTTCACTCGCAGCCTCATCAATACCTAAATCCTGGTGAACAAGTGACACTGAGAAGCTGTAATCAATAGCTCCCTGTGCGTTTTTTTCTTCTGGTCAAATGGTTCAGCGCTACTGACAGCCCTGACACTCAGAACATGATGCTAAATCTTTATCAACAGCCATCTGGGTGACTGGCAGAACAAGACTCGGGCGGTCATTAACGCTCGTGGCAATCTGTGAATAAACTAACTCCTCGGTAACACGTTTGTTTAGAAAAAAAGGTGGGGGAAAAAACTCCCTGCACAAGGGATCGATCGTCTTTGAACTGCATTTAGCAAATCCCGTCTGTGGAGGGAGTGGAGCAGTGCTCTGCTGTGGCCCTCTGCTCCTGGAAGGGCTTTCAGTTTGAGGCAGCAAGAACCTGACCATCATGTTCAACTGGTGCTGGGCTGGAGACCTCCAGAACCTGCCAAACCTGGCTCCACCAGGCCTGAGGAAGCTCCACCAGACCTGAAACATCATCTTACAATGTACAAGAGTCACACTTAACAAAAGATAAACATAGAAACGTAGAATGGTTTGGGCTGGAAGGGACCTGAAAGATCATCTAGTTCCAACCCCCCTGCATGGGCAGGGACACCTCCCACCAGCCCAGGCTGCTCTACGCTCCATCCAACCTGGCCTTGGACACCTCCAGGGAGGGGACAGCCACAACCTCCCTGGGCAACCTGGGCCAGAGCCTCACATTTGCTCACGTCCACTTGCTTTTTCTGCCCCTCTTCCCTGACAGAACCAAATGGCATGATGTGCCCAGCATGGCTTCCTTGTTATCACCAGCCAATGAAGGAATTAATGCCCGAGTAGTTTTGTGTGTCCATGTTTCAAATCCATACTTCCCAATCCTCTCAGAAATGCATGATTACTCCTCCCAAGCCCTGGTGTTTAAAACCTTTTGGCTGAGTAACATCCCTGACTTGGGACAGGCTGATCTCAGCACTGAGTTGCCCACTTATCTGGGCTGTAGCTTCAATAGTAACACAATGGGAGGGAATATAAAACCCAACTGCTGCTAACAGGCTGCTGAAGATGTCTTATTTAAGGCAAAGAACAGTCATTTAGGATGGCCTTGGACTAATCAGCCCAACAGTCGCCATCTCCCATGAGTCCCTGTGATTTCTTTTTGATCCTCCTCTACTTGTCTAATGAGATTTTTAATTGAACTTTATGGGCTCCCTTTGAGGACCACAGACCTCGTAGTCAATCTGAAGTGCAGTAAACTATTGGAAGTTTCTCTCACGAAAGGTGAGACAGCCCCACCATGTCCTTGGCATAAACTGAGGGAAAGATGTCACATCTTTCAGCTGCTGCTGGCACCTCCTCCACCTTCTCATAAAGTTGAAGGTCATTGTATGAATTATGTGAAGAATCCAACTAGAAAGGGGAACCTGCAGGACATGTGCTACCAAAACTAAAGACTGACCCCTGATTTGTAGAAGGGAGAAGTGTCCTGGTGTTTTGTGGAAAAAGGTGAGATAAGCAATTTTCTCAACACGTTTGAGCACCAGAGCAATGCCAGGCTCGGGGTTATTTCGAAAGCTCAGTTTCACTGTTACTACTACCTTCATTAAATCATGTTTATGATTCATCCATCGTGCTTATCATTTAGTCATTTTTAGGAAGCATCTCAAGGTGCAAACATGTCATGATTTTGCTGTTCTGCACAGCTTCTGCAGCTATCATGACTAGAAGCATCCACTTTTATTTCACATTCCCAATGAAAGCATTCCCCAGTTTCAGCTTCGCTCCTGCGAACAGAAACCACTCATCTGCTGCTTCACAAAACATCCCATTTCTGCAACAATTTTGAAGGAATTGCTCCTCAAACCCAGTTTTTATATCCTGAAGCTTGGGTTGCAGGTGTAGCATTGTGTGCTGATCCGTTACCAATGCTGCAGTTGACACGATGTGTTGAGTTCAATGAGCTGTTTAGTTAGATCCAAAGCTCAATATCTCATCTGATAAACAGACTGCAAGTGTGTTTATACACCTACACAGGTATCCTACAGCTCCTCGCAGGTTGCACACTCCCAGAGAACCTCTCATCATCATGTCTAATGGGTTTAAGCTTCTCAGCTCAATAAAGGACACCCTGGTATTTTAAGTGTATCAGATTTCCCTATGAAACAGTTCATTTGAGCAGCACAGAGCTGCGTTTTGTCAATACCCTGCACTGCACTTGACAATAGCAACTATTTTAATATGATGGAATGCTTTCCAATATAATATGGTGTACATTAAGATAAGGCAATACAATGCAAACCTGCAGGAAACAGTTCTCAAAGAATAACAATATAGTGTTGTGCAAAAGGAGATGTAATTGCTGTCGCCTAGAAATGTACCCAGCTTTGCCCTCAGGCTGCAGTGGAGCAGCAGCATCCAAAGTAGCAGTAACAGCAGGTTGTGGTGTGAAAATTCCTGCTTTTTCCCCTCTGAGGGAGGATGAAAATAGTTCTGAAAATATACAGCAAAGCTACTGCATTTTTTTTTTTTTTAAATAGGGTCCTATCTTATTATTATTTCCCATACTATGGCTGCAGTGTCTTCTGTCCCCAGCAGAAAATGTTAAAGCCTCTTACAGATGATAATGTATAGCTTTAGGGAAAAAGAGCTATATTAATGTAATACTACCCCAATGTTTCTTATTAGAAAGATTAAAAAAAAAAATAACCAGTGCTGTTATGAAAGCTCTACCTGCTCCAAACCACATTTTTATCCCTACACATCTCCTGTAGTTCACCTGTAATTTCATGCATATTCCACCTGTAAACACACACATAGTCCCTTTGTACTTCATGTGAGCACCTCACCACTCTGTTTCTCATACTTCTCACAGAAATCTTTATTTAGCCCTTCAGACTCATGAGCTGCAACATGCAGGTTGATTTTCTGAATGAGGTGAAATATAGATAATACCTGGCATTGCAAAAAAAACCCCTCACCTTTATTATTTTTATCTGTAAAGACACTGGCTCCTGGGAAAACAGATTTTCTAGCTCACTTTGCAACTCCACATTGCAGCCTCATATGTATCTTATTAAAAAAAAATACTGAGAGGACTGAAAATGTAAAAACAGCAGAGGAGGTCAAAGATGACTGCAGAAATAATGCTGGAGAAAAGGAGAGGAATTTGGGTATGGAAAGACACATGTTGCTCGGGGCAAGTGGTAATGAGGGGAAATATGCTGAAGAATGGCCAGAAAGGCCACAATGATATTAATATAAATCAAAGCATTTTTAATTTTTTTTAAAGGCAAGTGGCAAGGGAATGATATAGTGGTGTTCTCTAACAGCTCTTCCCTTCCTTTGCCCAGGGACTGGTCCCACACCAGCCCATGTGCTCCAGGTGCATAAATACATCCTGAAATCTAAACCTGGACAACTAAAAGAGAGAGAGAATTATTGGGAAGACAGACAAAGACCCCAAGTATTGTAAAAATATTGTTTTTTCCAAAATCCATGGGCCTAACCTAGAGCTCTGCTCCCTCCAGCTGGTTCAAACTCAGATGACTCACCTCTATCTAACGGAGAAATGTCACTTGCAGCTGGTCTAGAGCACATGGAAAAAGTGACAATTTGATTCAAATGTGTACCTGCAGGATTTAACACCCCTCCTCTTCCACATTTTCAGAAACATATCCATGCCAGAGAGGATGCACTGCTATTAATAAGCAAAGCTACTCAGACCCTGTCAAAACTGAGGTCTGTGGGGGGGAATAAAAGACTTCCCTCACCTAAGGATCCATAAGAAAGTTCAAGAACAACAAACGGGCAGAGGCCAATGAATTAAACCATGTTTCCTTTTCAAATCCACTGCCAGAAATGGTGGGGAATAAATCACATTAAACTGGGTTGTGCATTATTGCTGATTAAAAACACTTACTGACCTTATTACTCATGGTAGACCAGTTTTCACAGCAGATAAATTTAATCTAATGACATTTAGCCTGCAAAGCTCTCTAAATGCACCACCTTCCACCAACTTTGTTGAGAAGTTGACGTGAACTTACAGGGTTGCTCCTCATGGCTCCTCCCACTGCTCTGGCTGCTCTGCCATTGCCTGCCAGGTCAGCTAATTGCTTGTAGGAAACAGCCTCTCCAAACTTCACGTCTCTCAACAGGGTCCACAACACTTGCTTGGTGAAGGAATCTGCCGAGAGGGGCAAAGCAAATAGGGTTGGTATGCATGGCTGAAGAAGATGAAGTGTTCAAAAAAACCCAAGGCAAGGCAGAGGCTCAGCAGCAGGTTTCTCATTCAGAAGGCAGCAGCCCCACCACTGCAGCCTGTGCTACTGCATTTAAAGACATGATTATTAGAAAGGGCGCTTCAAGTAACCGATCGCTATAAAAAAGGATTTAAGGCTTTGATTTTCCTATATTTTTAATTTGCTCCAAGTACAATTATCCTGTTAACTCATACAATGTGGTTTTTCCATTAAACTGGCAGAGTATAAATTAGCATAGAGTCAAATTAAAAAGGGAAGAAATAACCGGCTCTACCTATCTGACAAAGCCCTCGCATCTCCAGCTAATTTCCAACTTCAGCTGGGACACGTGGCAGAAGAAGCCCTAGAGCCAGTGGACTCAGTATTATCCTGCCTGACTGCATTTTATAGCTGAGACCCCCAAGCTACTGCTCAGCACTGCAGACATTCCAAAACCTAAGGACTAGCTGTGACCTTGAACATACAGCACATCCTTAACGATACAGGGCTGAGGGAAAAAAAATATAATGTCTCTTCCATTATTTTAATTTTAATTCGCCAGCAAATTGCTTCAAAGTGTTCCAATTGCTGAAATAATGAATAAGCAAATGCATTAGGACCAGCTTCCTTCTCACCTTCCCAACCCAGGATTACTTGACAGAAGGGAAACTGGTGGCCATGCTTGGGGTTGAGTTGGGTTGAACACCCATTGCTCTTCCAAGGCACTTGGAAAAGCTTTGAAGATCTAAGTAGGGAATAACTTACTGAGAGGAGTGAGCTGGTGAATAAAAGAAGAAAAAAAAGAAAAAAAAGGAAAAAAAAGACACCCCTTCCCCCAGCTGAGAGAGCTTCAGTCTCCTGCTTTGGCAAAGAAACAAATAAAAACATTTTCTTTTCTTTACTTGTCAAAAAAGACATTGATTAAGTTATATAGAAACAGAGCGAAATGTGATTTTGTTCTTAAAGGAAACCCATACACCATTATGTGTGTGTTAAATAATAAAAATCACTTCTTAACTGAAGGGAATGATAATCACTTCATTGAAAAAATCTGTTTAGTCTTTATTATAACATTAAGCAAATTAAACATCAGCATAATCCAGGTGATACGAGAAAAGGGTCATCAAAGAAATTAACTTTGTTGTTCATTAATTTACATGGATTAGTAGAGGGCAAAGAGATAGCAAATCTGCTCTAGTTTTTTATGATATAATTTCAAAATGTACACCATTTGTGGCAGTAGGGTGACTTTGGGGTTAATCAGACTGATTTGTCCTTTTAATTGCTTTCTATTCAAAGAAAATTCATTAGATAATGTTCTCTTCAAAATTCATGAATCAATTTAACTGAAGAAACCACATTAACAGCTTTGGGTTCATTAGCACAAGCAGTTGTGTTACTAGCTGATTGCTAGGAGGGCTTCCTTTGGCAAACAGATTTTGTTTACTGTGATTCCTTCAGAAAGGTTTATTTCAAATCAAATTGTTACTTATTATTTTTTTTTTAACCTTCTTTTTAAGCTGGCAAGATTAGTGTTAACCTCTCCGGCTCAGGGGTGTGGGGGAATTATTGCTCCATGTCATCTTTTAGATCAATGGAACTCGGGGACTGCAGGTTGCCAGGGCCCAAGTCCAAAAAATCCTCTTTTTTTGCCCGAATTCTTGGCAAGGGAGGTGGTGGAATGGGATGTGAAAGACCAGCAACCTTCTGAAACCTGTAGGAATAAGAGGAGCAGCAGGTGCAGCTTGGGCTGGAGGATGGGGCAGCTCCAGAGCCCCCCCAAGCCATGGCAGCACCGTGCCAAGTGATGCCCAAGTTATTGAGCACCTTTTAACCCACTAAAAGAGGGCCAGAGATTATTCTCCTCTGACAAGCAGGGGCAGAGATTACCCTCTTCCCAGAGCCACTGCACATTTTTCATGGGAGAACATCTTGCACCCACATAAAACACTCAGAGTTATAGTTCAAAAGAATGAAATATTTAGCAATCATGCACATCATTTTATAAAAGTATCTGAAAACTCCATTTCATCCTGTAGGGAGCAAACGCATTAATTAGTTTAAGCAGCTCTAAGAGACAGTGCCAAAGACAGTTATTAAACTGTCTGCAAGTATGAGTGCCTGTAAGCATAACCTGCCCAAATTAGATGGCTGAACTTTCACCAATTTTCAGCCTGTGCCAACATTTTATGCTGTTACGTATCATTATAAAGTGCTGTAAAATACACCCATAAAAATTAACACACACACAAATTCTCTCATTAGGTAGAAACCCTCTCTACCTCTGTGTGATGAGGATGCCTAGAGCATCCCAGGGAGGCAGATGCCAGCAGAACAACAGCTGAACTGACTCACATCACATGCACAGAAATGTTTGAGGTCTTCTCCCTTCCCCTGCAGTCATCTACATCTCACACTGCACCTATTCCCTCCAGGAGGCAGGGCTCTGGACTGCCCTCTTGCCAAGAAACACAAGTTTTGGCCAAACAGAGCAACTCACATTGCTTGGTGCTGCTTCCCCTTTAAGCAAGCAACAATCTGTCAGATTTTACATGAAAATGCACACTGCAACAGTTCCTGCTGGGAGCTGGAGCTGCATCAGGAAGGTGGGGTGAAGGTGGACTGAAGGCTGGGGAAGGGAGAGACCAAGTTTGGTTTCCAAGTCTCCAAAGCCCTGAGGACCCATTCCCACCTTCAGCTGCTGTGTTCACAGCACTCAGGGACCACAAAGGTAGTTGGGAGGGTTTCATAGATTCACACAGTGGTTTGGGTTGAAAGGGACCTTTAATGGCCATCTAGTCCAACCCCCATGCCATGGGCAAGGACATCTCCAACTGGAACAGGTTGTTTAGATCCCTGTTCAACCTGATCTGGAATGTTTCCAGGGATGGGGCATCTATCACCTCTCTGGGTAGCCTGGGCCAGTGTCTCACCACCCTCAGTGTAAAAAAGTTTCTTTCACTTTATACCCAGTCTGAACTTCCCCTCTTTCAGTTTAAAACCATCACCTCTTGTCCTGTCACTACAGGCCCTGCTATAAAGTCTGTCCCATCTTTCTTACAGGCTCCTTTAATTATGGAAAGGCCACCAGAAGCTCTCCACAAAGCCTTCTCTTCTCTGAACAACCCCTGCTTAATGACAGGCAATGGGTGATGAGCTTCTTGGATGGTTTCTTCCTACTTCACCATTTTTGAGTTGCTGGACAAAATCCTCCTAACTGCTCCTTAGGGCCAGTCCTGCCAACTCAGTGATAAATTGGCACCGTGCTGTCCCGTCGAGAGTGGCTGTGCTGGGACTGATCTGAAATTAACATTTACAGGAAGTTATGAGCCCCTAAAAAGAAGGGCTTACCCTCAGCCTGCTGCTACTGCCCAAATGCTTCAGAGGTGTCTTCCGACAGCCTGCTGGACTTGACTAAGAGGGGTTAAAGACCATGTTTTGCTTTCTCCTCAACACTGATTGCTGGGGACATTTGTCTTCCTGTTCATGGTGTTTGATTTTTTTTGTTGTTGTTTTTGTTTTGGTTGTTTGGTTTAGGTTGTTTGTTTTCCCTCAAGGGTGTTTGCAAATGTAAAGAAACAGTTACAAATACTCAGCCCTTCTCACCATCTTTTTCACAGCCTGTCTGGGCTACTACATAGACAACTTCTTTGTTTTGACACCAGTTTTCACTGTTACTACTATCGGCAAAATCTCAAGCATAATGCTTCAAATATACTCCAAATTGTCCTCTAAGCTGCAGCATGGGATTGCAGAATCCCAGACTGGTTTGGGACACCTCCCACTAGACCAGGCTGCTCCAAGCCCCATCCACCTTGGACACATTCAGGTATAGAGCAGCCACAGGTTCTCTGGGAAACCTGCTCCAATGTCTCACCACCCTCACAGGGAAGAATTTCTTCCTAACGTCTAAACTCCATCTCGCCTATTCCAGTTTAAAGCCATTACCCCCTCATCCCATCCCACTCTGCCCTTGTCCAAAGTCCCTCCCCAGCTTTCCTGGAGCCCCTTCAGGCACCGGAAGGTGCTCCAAGGTCTCCCTGGAGCCATCTCTTCTCCAGGCTGAACAACCCCAAGTTGCTCAGCCTGGATAGGACACCATGCTTCTCTATGTTTTTCTTTATTATTCTTTCTCACCATCTTACCCTTAATCCACAGATCATAACAGTGAAGTTGTGTTTTTTGTGCATACTGCAGTGGCATGACTGAAGAAGTGATGTGCCTTGAAAATACACTTCATGTATCCCCAGTAGTGAAAACATTATACATTCATTCTACATTTACTTGTATATAAATTAAGGTCAACTGCAAAGTATTTGGACTAGCAACCATTCAAGTAGGTGACCAGAGTATCCTGGTCTAGTGGGAGGTGTCTCTGCCCGTGGCAGGGAGGCTGGAACTAGATGATCTTTAAGGTCCTTTACAACCCAAAGTCTGGGATTCTATAATTAAGCATTCAAAGATTCAAACACCCCAAACCAACCCATCCAGTAAAGCTGAGAACAGCTGAGTCAACTTCTCCCTCCAAAGCAGCACCTTTGGTGAACACAAGTCCTTGCTGCAGACCCTGCAGTGCCCAATTGTGCCCTAGCACAAGCCCTGTGCTGTCTCTTCTACTATTTTCTGAATACAGATGCAGTTGCATGAGTAAATACTTAATGAAATTCAGAACATCAGTTCATAAATATTAGGCAGCCCACAGTAAAACCATTAGAGGACACTGGAGTGTTGGATAATGTAGCTCAGGTGTTATCTTGTGCTCTCCCACAGGTCACCATGTTCCCCTTTCTGAGCAGTACAGGAATGTGGGCTAAGGGAGTGCTTTGGTAATGCTTTTATGGATCGCCTCTGCATGTTTGTGTCTGCAATATGTAATACAATAAAATACAAACACAACTGTAATTTATAAACATACTATACACCTGCTTGTGAAAAATATACCAAG